AGAGAGGAACAAACCAGAGTGAAACAAAGGTTTGCCATTGTTGAACAACAATGTGAGGGGTTCAGGGAGGAGATTACCTGATTTGCAGGGAAGCAACTGTGAACCAAATTTTGGTCTCATCTTGCAGATCATTAATGCACGCAAAGATGGAAACTTTTCCGAAGCTGATAACCTCACTCACTTTATTCGATTTATTGTGTAACATCTATATATAGTATAGTTTATGCTACAAATGTTGCTCAATTCATCTTGAACTCTAACCAAGCTATTTATCATTAAGCTAATACATGAAGCTGGGAGTGTAATGTGTGTTATTAAATTATATAAACGTGGATATTGACAATAATTTGGGATCAATTACGGAACTAAATCTATAAAACTAATATCACATATGATGACAACAATAATATGTTCCAATTTGATGATGATTAGTTTTAATAATAAACTCAAATGATTAGGGTTTACGATCTTGTCAATTTAAGTTTCAAATTAATTTGACAAATTCAAATCAAGAATAAAAACTGTAGTGGAAGATACCAAGCAAGTCTAGTAAAACCTAACATAACGTCTCAATGGAAAATTTATTCTAAAAGAATCTGTGTGGGACCATTGAAACATAAAATTGATATTAAAGGCAACCAATAAGCAGCCTCATAATCAGTCATACCGACACTAAAATAAACTCCCAAAAATGATGGTTCCATCCCACTCGCGATTCCTTCACCTCACGCCCGAATGCCCTCGCTATAAAACTGATACTTCTTCATCCTTTCCCCCCGGTTTCTCCACTTGCTCGTTACTTGTTTCCTCCAATCTCACACGCGGTTTTACTAATATTAACTTATTGTATAAATCCATTGGATTGCAGTCAAAGTTTATATCTCAATCTATTTCGGTTTTAACTTTAGTTGGAGCTTCATATTCAAGTCGATTAACAATGGCCGTGCCGTGCATGTTCGGGAAGAAGAAGAACAAGGCTTTGGACCTGAAAACGAAGGGTTTGAAAAGTAGGGTCCAACGAATCAAAGCGGATATGGGAAGGATAAGGGAAGATCAAAGATGCATACGTGAGGAGCAAAGGGGTATAGGAGAAAGGTTTGGAGATGTTAAACGCCAATGCGATGAAATCAGATTGGAAACTGAAATGATTATGAAGCAATCGGATTTGAATTGGATTAGTCTTAGTCTTATGTTCAGCATCTTACGAGCTCGCCAAGATGGTGAATTTGACCACCTTCACTCACTTCCTTCGTTCCATTTCTAATACAATATGGTTTCTTTATGTCAATGTCGACTATCTGGAATCTCAAAGGATGCACTATCACAATCTGTTTTGCTTCGTAAATTTGACTCTCTTTTTTCAATGTTTTTACCCAACATTTGCCTTCTTTGTTCTGTCAAGGAAGAAATCCATCTCTGCGCTATACAATTGGCGATGGAGCAATCTTTTACATCTCAACAAAAGATCAAAACACCAATGCAACAACAGTATTAAAAGAAAAAAATAGATCAAGCAATGGAACAAGCTCAGTTGCACCACCCAGGCACCCAAACGCCTACAGACGACCACCAGAAACAATATAACAGTGACCCAAAATTCAAATAAATTGAGACCCGGAAACCGAATCATGCATATCAGATACCTGTCAAAACAAATGGAAAACTTATATCAATTCTTTAGCAAAAGTAGCCGTAGGTTATGCGATAGATAAGGATAATTAATTAGTATTTTAATATAATATTAACTCTTAGAAAGTTAGATAAAGATAACTACTAAGTAGTTTAGTTTAAATTAACTCTTAGAAAGTTAGATAAGGATATCTACTAAGTAGCTTAGTTTAAATTAAATACTTGTTCTCACCTACTATATATACATATTAAACTTGTAATCTATTGTTACTTGAATATACAACAGTGAAGTTTTTCACTTTTTCTTACCTTTGTCATTTAATTTATTTCATCACCCAATTCCTTTTAATTCACTTTACATCAGCCCTATTTTCAACATGGTATCAGTTAGGTGATCGATCCTTCACCTAAATCTAGCCTATTTTTTTTTCTTTTTACCCTATATATAGTCGTCAATCATGAATTCCGCCACTTCTTCATCGGAGGTCACTTCTGAATTCCTCGTTAATTCACCCCATTCAAACCTTTCTGATGTTTCTTCAACCTCTATCACTTGTCACCGATTGAATGGTGACAATTATATCGCTTGGTCCCAATCTGTTCGTTTTTATATAACCGGTCGGCGCAAACAACAATATCTTTTGGAGACCACACCAATTCTCGCTGTGACGAATCCTGAATATTCAACTTGGCTAAGTGAGAATACCATGATTATGTCATGGCTCATCAATTACATGATTCCTGCTGTGGGGGAAAACTTTATGTTGTATGAAACAACGGCTGAAATTTGGAGTGCTGCAAAGGCGATGTATTCGAATCTGGAAAATTCTGCTGCTTTATTTGGGATCGAGTGTCAACTTGCCAATCTCAAACAAGACAACATAACCGTGACTCAGTATTTTACTCTAATGTCGTTCCTATGGCAACAACTTGATTTGTTCAAATCCCGTGAATGGAGGTGTGTAGAAGATGCCGCTCTATTCAAGAAGATTGTTGAACAACGCCGTATATTCCAGTTTTTGTCCGGTTTGCATCGGGATCTTGATGAAGTCCGAGGACGAGTATTAGGACTCAAACCTCTTCCTTCAATCCGGGAAATATTTTCTGCAATACGACGCGAAGAAAGTTGACGTACCGTTATGCTTCCTGATTTGTAGCCCGCTGAAGGGTCTGCATTGCTCACTCACTCTCAAACTACTACTCGGCCAAAGAAAGGGAGACCTTGGTGTGACTACTGTAAGAAGGTTGGCCATCTGCGGGATTCCTGTTGGAAATTACATGGCAAGCCTACTGATGGGAAGTTTTCAAAACAACATCAACAACGTGATACTCAAGGAAACTGTGTTGTGAATAATGAATTACAAGGAAGTTTGTTTACTAAAAAAACAAATGGAATAGTTGCAACAGTTTTTTAGTCAGATGCACACTCATCCCAATCAGTACCTGTATGTAGAATTCATTCTGCTACTTTGGCTAATACATCCACCACTCCTACTTGGATTGTGGATTCCAGTGCAAGTGATCATATGATAGGTGATCTTCGGCTCTTTCACACTTTTCATGCCGACTCGTCTATCTCTCATATTCGAACAGCTGATGGTTCTTTATCTGGTATTACTGGTCATGAATCTATTCGAATAAATCAGGACATTTTGTTATCTCATGTTCTTTATGTTCCCAATCTCACTTGTAATCTTATCTCCATTAGCAAGTTGTCTGCCGATTTATGTTGTACCACAAAATTTAACTCTGATTTTTGTGAATTTCAAGATTCCAGCTCGGGGAAAGTGATTGGCAGTGCTAGGCTTTGTGGGGGTCTTTACCTACTTCCAGCAATTTTATTTTCCCACCCATCAACTTCCTTCGATGTTATACAACAATTTCCTTTACTTGAACCTTCAACCGATGTTATGTTATTGCATTTTCGTTTAGGACATCCAAGTTTCCTTTATCTTGCAAAATTGTTTCCACATTTGTTTGTCAATAAAAGTCTGAAATCTTTTTCTTGTGATATTTGTCCACTTGCTAAACAAACTAAGAGTGTTTACCTACCTTCTCCATATAAACCGTCCAAACCATTTACCATGATCCATAGTGATATTTGGGGACCATCGCGGGTTGCATCTTTACATGGGTTTCAGTGGTTTATTTTATTTATTGATGATCACACTCGTACTACCTGGACGTTTCTCATGAAAACCAAATCTGAAGCTTGTGAAATATTTAAACGGTTCCATAAGATGGTTGAAACCCAATTTCAGTGTTCAATCCAAATGTTTCATTCTGAAAATGGTAGTGAGTATTTTGCCAATATTTTGGGTTCTTTCTTTCAGGAAACTGGGATTGTTCATCTTACTTCGTGTGTCAATTCTCCTCAACAAAATGAGATTGCTGAGCGGAAAAACATACATCTTCTTGAGGTTACTCGGTCTCTACTTTTTTCCACAAATGTTTCTAACTATTTTTTAGGGGAAGCCCTTTTAACTGCCACTTATTTGATTAACCGTCTCCCTAGTAAACTGTTACAATTTAAGTGTCCAAGAGATGTTTTTCTTCAGTTTTTCCCCAATTTTAAACCGATGACTTCATTGTTACCCCTTAGAGTTTTTGGTTGTACTGTGTTCGTTCATAACAATGTTCCTTTCATGTCCAAATTAGATCCTCGAGCATTTCGGTGTGTGTTTATGGGTTATTCATCGACTCAAAAGGGCTTTCGATGTTATTATCCTCGTACAAAGGAATTCTTTATTACTATGGACGTTACTTTCCTTGAAAAAACACCTTTTTCCCTTAAAACTGCTATTCAGGGGGAGTCATATAATGAATATCAGTTTGTTGACTCACAACAATTGTCACTTGATTTGCAACCAGCTCTTTTTGATGAACCAACACCATCAAACTAGTTAAACCAGTCAAATAAGGCTACAAAATCGCTACAGCCATACTAAACGACACTATCGAACCCAGAAAACGTATCCTTGCCAAACCATTCCACCGAAACACATTTACCTCGGCATGATCAGCATATCACTTCGCCTCAAATACCTTAATCCGAGTTACAGATTTACAAGAGACGACAAAAATCAATTTCTAAATCAATCCCTGAACCTAATTCCGAGTCTCCCACACAACATAGACACTGTCATGAACCGGAACCAAACGAGAATCCTTTGGAGAATGAAGAAGGTAATCAGAGTTCTTCCACTAAATTAAATGCTTTAATGGATGATAATGACTTGCCGATTGCTCAAAGGAAATGAGTAAGAAAATGCAGAAATTATCCAATTGAGAGATTTGTTGCATACGGAAAGCTAATGCCTTGTTTTAAGAACTTTACAGCAAGTGTAGATAGCATTACTATTCCAAATACGATGGAAGAAGCATTGAAAGATCCCAAGTGGAAAAAGGCAGTAGAAGAGGAATTAAAAGCATTGGAAAATAACAATACTTGGATTATAGTTGATCTTCTGAAAGATAAAAAATCAATTGACTGCAAATGGGTATTCACAGTAAAATACAAAGCTGATGGTAGCATTGAAAGATATAAGGCGAGATTAGTGACGACAGGATTCACTCAATCTTTTGGAGTTGATTATCATGAAACGTTTGCTCCGGTAGCAAAACTAAACACTGTGAGAGTGTTACTGTCATTAGCAGTTAATGAGAATTGGGTGCTTCATCAGTTAGACATAAAAAACGCATTTTTAAACGAAAGCTTGGAGGAGGAAGTATATATGCGAATTCCACCGGGTGTGAAGAGCAATACAGGAAAAGCATGTAGATTACTAAAGTCCTTGTATGGACTTAAGCAATCTCCAAGAGCCTGGTTTGTCAGATTTACAAAGGTGATTATTCAGGATGGTTACAAGCAATGTTAGTCGGATCACACTTTATTTGTCAAAACAACTTCAAACAACAAAAAGGCAATTTTGATTGTCTATGTGGATTATATCATTCTAACAAGTGATGATTGTATGGAGATAGAAAGATTAAAAAAGCTACTGGCGAAGGAGTTCGAAACCAAAAACTTGGGAACTTTACGATATTTTTTAGGCATGGAGGTTGCAAGGTCAAAAGAAGAAATAATGATCAATCAAAGGAAATATATCCTTAATCTACTATCAGAAACTGGAATGAATGGATGTAAGCCGACAGAAACACCCATGGAAGCAAATCTTAAGCTAAGGAGAGAAGAACTGAGAAGTCCTGTAAATAAAGAACAATACCAAAGGCTAGTAGGTAAACTAATTTATTTATCACTTACTAGACCTGATATTGCGTTCCCTGTCAGTATAGTGAGTCAATATATGAATGATCCAAGAGAAGAACATTTAGCGGTAGTGAATAGAATTCTAAGATACTTGAAAATGACACCAGGACATGGGTTAATTTTTAGAAAAAGTTATGATAGAATAGTAAGAATTTTTTTGGATTCAAACTGGGCAGGTGAATTAACTGATAGAATATCTACAACTGGTTATTGTTCATTTGTTTGGGGAAATCTGGTTACTTGGAGAAGTAAAAAACAGGCGGTGGTGTCTCGAAGTAGTGCAAAAGAAGAATTTAGAGCAATGGCACTTGGAATTTACGAAGGAATTTGGCTTCAAAGAATGTTAACTGAGTTGGGTTATGTGCCAACAAATGGTTTGAACTTCAAAGTGACAGTAAATCTGCAATAAGTATTGCAAAGAATCCAGTTCATCATGACCGAACGAAGCATGTGGAGATTGACAGACATTTCATCTCTGAAAAGGTGAATGGTGGAACGGTGAAACTCAATTATGTTTCAACGAAGAATCAGTTAGCAGATATTCTCACCAAAGCACTTCCAAGAATTACCTTTGATGATATTATATCCAAGTTGGGTCTTTTCAACATTTACTCCCCATGTATAACTCTTTTGGTAAAAAAAAAACAGGTCTGTTGTGGATGTCGAAGTTATCATACTCATTTTCGAATATGGTTTATCTATATTTAAAGAATGATACTCTCTGTTATCATGATCGTTTGGACGTGTGCAATTCATTAACACGCTAAAAGAAGCTAACTCGGCTACTAATTTTTAGTTTTGCAAAAATAGGTGTTACTGATGTCTAATTGTTTTATGCACGGATGTAGTGTTGTGTTGATGGGCATATCGCTTGGTTTTTAGATGATGCAGACTTTGATGGGTCATTAATGTTAGCTTCCAACTGGGGAACCTTGGATTTTGTCATGGTAATTACTTGTCTCTTATTCTCATTGTTTTGATGCTACTGAACGAGTTGATCATTTTGTTTTATTGGACGCTGTTATTTATCAATTTAATAAAATCTCTTTTGATTTAGAAAAATACAAATATATTAACAATGAGGGTTTATAAATTTAAAAATAAATCTAAATAACGTAGTTATTTACAAAGAGAAGAAAAACTCCAAGACAAGACGCAGGTATCACTCCAAACAAAGAAGAGCCGTTCAACGGTATTTTCATAGAAATACAAATGTAGTAATTTATTATAGAAAAATGGTGCAGTTGAATAAGATTCTTCGCCCATCAAAGCTTCATTTAACATGCTATTTCTCTCTTGCTATCAACTCACTGTAGAATCAGAAGGGGGGGGGGGCGGAATTAGCAATTGAAGCAAAAGCATTAGTCATCTTAATTATTAGTAGAGAACCGGAGAGCAGAAGTGAGTAGTGAGGCTTGGGAAAAGTCATGCTTCTCTCTGGCTTTGAGGATTTGGAACATTAGAGCCAGCCTGATTTGTGTATTCACACTCAGTGTAGTCTCCTCCCCACATTCCACATCAATGGCTTCCAGTTTTTTAATTCTTTTATTTCTTCCTTCTTTTCACTTTTTCATACCACCATTCAATCTCGCCCACCTTCTTTTCTTACTCTACAAAATTTTAAAAAACAATCATGTAAGTGTTGATGATCTCATCTGCTGAGGATATCAATGTTTGTTGGTCAACTTTTTCTTATGCTTATTCTGCTTGAGATTAAAGCTTTCTTAATAATAAAATAATAAGGAGCTTTTAATAAACAATAATTAAAATAAATACTGGATGTTGACGGCCACCCTTTGCTCCTGATGTGTTGGAATGCATCCTGTAATTGTTTCACCTCGGCTTCTCTTTGCTCCCCCACCCCCCACATTGGATACTTATTTATTCATCAAGCTTGGAGGCCAAGGGATGTCTGATTTTTTTTATTCTCATCAGTTTCCCGTTCCTTACACTGATATTATTAAATCTAATAATTTATGATATATATATATATATATATATATAATTTATGATATTTTTTTTTGATGAAAAGCTAGTTTTAATTCAAAAAATATAATTAATGGTATATATATGTATGTAAATAATCACTGAGAAAAAATAGCTTCAGGGTTCATCATCGATCCTCCAAGCCTCTCCATTATTATCGTTATCAATGGCTTTTGATTTGTTTTCTTCGGAGAAAAGGGGTTTTGCTTCCATAATTTTGGAGAGGCTGAGCAATTGATATTCTCAAGGTTTTTGCTTTTTTATCTGAATTTCTAGAGAATATGAATTTATAGTATTTGTGAAGACTTCCCCTTATTTAACTAAACTGTTATTTTGGAATTTGATTCATGATTTAATTACATTAATGTAAAGTTCTCTTAATTAAACTATAAAACAGTATTTAATTGAACCTTCACATAAATGTATTAATCGTCATCAATGACTCGAATTATTTAAATTTTCTATATACTTTAATATTATATTTTATATTCATTTCATTGAATATACTATCTATTAATATATTATGTGTCAAACTTTAAAAATTAAGAAATAACATAGTTAAAGAAATTTAAAATAGATAACCTTACTATTAAAAACATAATTTTAGTATAATAATTTATTGGATACACTATAAATAGTTACTAAAATGAATCTAAAATGAATATGATTAAGATTAATAATAAAAAATAAAGAGATAACTCGTTAAATTCCGACGACATACAATTTCAAATGATCAAACGGTATCAGATCAATAAAGTTAAGACGTCACATCAATATTTTATTAATGTGATAATATATTAATGGTCGAATGATCGATTTATTATAAAATGATAATATCAATGACTAAATCGTTACTTTTAAAACGTTAATGGGACAGAAGAAAATTACTCATATTTCAATGACAGTTTAATTTAGTTTGCCGTAATTTATTTTGAAAATAACATTATAGCACAAGGGTGTTTTAGTCATTAAATAATCTATGTTGAATTGTTGACACGTACGGTATATAATATAAAAATATGGCCAAAAGGAAAAAGAAAAAGAAAATCTGAAGAGAAATGGGAGCGATAGGAAGGAAAAGAGAAGTAAGAAACGATCAAATTCTTATTCTTCTGGGTCTGAAGGTTAGTTTTAATTTTCCATTGGTGGAGAACATTTTTATTTAATTTTCGGAGGAAAAGCATTAGAACCCTAATTTAAAGTGCTTAGCGTTTCAAGCAAGAATGATTCGAATTTAATTTAACTTAACGAAAGCTTTTGTTTTTAACGTGAATATGTTTGGTTTACTGTAAAACTACAGATGAAGGAAGGGAAAAAAGGCAAAGGAGAGGCGAGGACGAGGAGAGGAAAAGCAGGAAGAAGCATGATAAGAAAGAGAAAAGGAAAGACAAGAAATCTCACAAGCACTCTTCAGATAAAGGTTTTAATTTTAAGCTTATAAGTTCATTGTTAGTTCTCCTCTATGTTTTGTTTTAAGTTATCGAGTATTTGTTGAACATTGTGTTTATGAAGCAAAAGTTGGAAGAATTGGGTTATGTGCATTTGTTAACTTAAGATTTTAAAATTTCAAGAACATCAAAGGGATACTTCGGAGGGGAAGATTGAAGGAACAATATGTATTCCATTGTGAATTGAGGTGTTTATATGTCTGTTTTAATGAGCTTCTAGTAGCTATAATTTTACTTTATGTGTCGGTTGGTTCAGTTTTCTGCTTTTATGGTTGTAGGATTTATGAGGACTCTTTGTAATTAGAGTGGTAGCTATCCCCCGGTATTTCTAAAATTCTACTTCTATTGAGATAGCAATACAATTGCAAATACTCACTATTCAGTCACCGAAATTGTATCTTAAAACTTTGGTCATGAAGCTGTTGATATATTAACTATATTAACTCTTAAGATGGCTGGATTGATGTGTTCATCTGCATCATGTTTTTTACATGCTTTTTGGAGTCTATGCTCGTGCTGGGAGTTGGATAATATATGATTAGTGAAGTACTCAGAGTTGATAGAGTAAGGATAGATATAGTGCTATTTAAAGAAAAGCACACTAACCCAAATTTTAGGCTTTTTGTTAGATTCATGAATTGAAGTGTAAGTTAACAACAAGAGACCACCATAGTGATATAATTACAGTGCCTGAATTAGAAAATTAGTTTTTACTTGAATTATTTATAGTTATATATTAAGTTACAAAATTCTGATAAATTTGTTATTTGAGAATTGTATTGAATGTCCAACACATCTCTTTATTAAATCTAAAGGTTTATGGTTTTTTTGTTGGATTTCTTAATACCATTTGTTTGGGATATGCTTTTGGTATAATGCTAAAGAACTAAAAGTTCCACATTGTGTCTCCTGCTTTTTGCAAAATAGTTATATCACGTTGATTTACTTTGTTTGACTCAGAGAAGAAGTCGAAGGAAAAGCACAGAAGTAAACATCAAAAAGTTGACCGCCACTCTGTGAGTCCTCTTGTACTGCTTTATAGAAGTCAACCTAGATTTTATGTCATAGTTTCCTTTAACTGCTGTGCCTAAGAATTAGGTTGCTTCTTGAGGCACATGATGTGAAATTGGAAGTGGAATACAGTCTGTATAGTTTGGACGTTTTGGTGTAATAGTTCATAGTTTTTTTTTGGTGGTGAGGGGTTCTTATGTTCGGTTTTTTCAAAAACAAGGTCCATAGCTCTCTGTTAAAGCATTGAGAATTCTGATGAACATTCATGATTTTGGAGTATTTGCCTTCCATTATTTAGGAATATTGAAAGCACAGATTCTGTGAACTTATGGGTTGAAGGAATTCTGGTAGGTTTGTAATGGTGGATACCTTGAAATCAGCTCACTCACTAGATGTCTTGTTAGTTCTGTTTTGTCATGTGTTGTGCTGCAAGTTCATACCTTTCCTCGGTAAATCGAAAAACATAATTTATAGACTGAGATAGCTCTATATTGCAGTCTGTTTTATTTTTCTTTGTTGAAATAGGTTGGCAAAATGACATTAGTTGCTGAACTTTAAAGTGCAAATTTGCCTTCTCATCAGTGAACTTTGTGGTTTCACATGTTTGGTCTAACATACTTTGCATCTTTATTTCATTGGTCCTAAGTGTTCATATAGTTTAACGTGCTGTACAAGAATGGTATAATCATGTTACAATACCTTTAAGAATATATACAAAGATTTTATACACGTACAACAATGACAAAAGCAATAAGTTATCAACTTGGGGTTAAACTTTCATTCAACCTTTCCACTCTTCTTACATCTTGGATTCATGGGGTTTGGCTATTGAATATGAAACCATGCGGTGTTGAATTCAACTTTTAAAATATTAGAATGACAGCTAGGCGCACACGAGTCTCTAATGCCTATATCATTTGACTGCCTATGCAGCTGCTGGTGGTTGTGTGAGAATGGCATTTTAAACACAGTGTTTACATGAAATTTACAATTTGCTGATGTTCTTATCTCCATTGCTGCAGAAACATGGGTTCAAGAGATTTCCGGTGATGACTATTTTTCAATGAACAATGAATTTGCCACGTGGCTGAAAGAAGAGAAGCGTGTGTTTTTCTCTGATCTTTCGTCCGAGTCTGCTCGGGATTTTTTTGCCGACTTTGTTAAAGATTGGAATAACCAGAAACTTGGATCTGAATACTATGAAGGCATTGCAAGAGGGCCACGGACTGCACATAACTGGAAAATCAAACAGTAGGAAGGGAAGAGGGTACCTTGATGCCTATATTGTTGTTTATTTTTCGCACTCCTTTTATATTTGTTCTGATTTGTAATGTAGTACCGGATAAATGTTGTAGTTTGCAGACGTGCAGCAAAAGAAATATATTTGGTATTTGCCTATAGCTATCCCATGGGAACTGGTAGTATGGAGGGAAGATGTACTCACTGGAGAAACACTTAACATATTGCTAACTGGGGGGTTCGGAGGAGGTGGCAACCATGGCTAATGGATACCCCACATTTTTACTTTTTCATTTGCAGAATTCTACATATTTTGTCACCTTTTTTCTGACATTATATTCCTATTTCAGAGGCGGCAGATTTTGCCTATAATTAGAAAGGTTTTTATTGTATATTGTATGGTTGTTGAAATGATTGCCTCTTTTGTACACTAAAAAAATGGAATATACATTACATTTAAAAATAATATAATTACTTAAATGTCAAGCTCCCTTATTTAAGAATATTATAAATATAAAATTTCATCTACAGCAAATATTCAATGTTAGATAATATATATTATAAATATTAAAAAATACTAAATTATATATTTAATAATATTTCATTTGTATTTAAATGACAAACACCCTATTGAATAATATACTCTGGTGGCATATAACCACTGTTCATCACCAAAGCCAACAGTATCATTTCCAGCTCTAAAATCCAAATCTTAAAACACTTTGATACAGCTACACACCAGACACCCTTGTACTTAGTAGGTTCCAACTATCCATTTTGTATTTGCTTCAGTTTGATCCCCGCGGAACATTATTTTCATTCCCAATTCTGAAATTTTGGGATTCATATCATTGTCCAACAGAACATTGCTGTCCTTTAGGTCTCTATGAAGATAAAGAAGCCCATTAGATATCCCAACAATGAAGTCATATCTCCTCCTCCAGTCAAGTGAAGGCCGTCTTGTTTCATCTGCAGCCATTGTCCGTCATTTATTTTTGAATTCTTGAAGGCCTTGTCCAGAATTCTCTGCAAGTCTCTTCACTGCCACTTCTTGTCCGAACTGCAGCTCACCCTATGGATTATTATTATTATTATTTGGTTACAATGAAAACACTGAGCTCAGTGGATGTGGCTGCTGCTCACTACTATTTGATCAGCTTTGAGAGTATTCTGTATATCATCAGGTGGCTGCTGGAAAATCAACAGACCCAGATCTGCTTTGCGCCCCAAGTTGGCAAGTTTATCAGCAAGTTTATTAACTCGACGAGAAATATGACAGATTCTTACGTTCCAACGGTGAAATATATTTCTACCTCGTATACTGGTCCAAATCCACCTTCTCCATTCTTGTTTGCAGCCGAAAAGTTGTTAGTAGCAGCTTGAATAGTGGCAAATTCACTAAGGGGAGTTCAAGATCATCCTCACTTTCAGCTTTGCTAATGGTCACTTGATTTTCTGGCTGATGAGCTGTCAATAGGAACATTGACAAATTAACAAAGCAGCTTGGTATCGTAATTTATAGTTTTTGGTGTTTGTTCTTCGCAGCTTGTGCCTGCAATGCTTTCATGGGTGTTTGCATACAAAGCAGCTGCTCTTGTTCAAGTATACAGAGACAATGAGGACCAGCAATTTGTCTTTCCGGAAAACGAAGAACAATCAAAGTAACTGAGTGTATAATTTTGTTTTTGGTAGAACACCTCCAACACTCAACTGAACCCTCCCTAGCTGATTTGGCCTTTGGGGAAGAAGGAAGACTTTTATAGAATTTATGTGTTTTTTATTTTTTAAAGGGGTCAACGGGTGCCAAATCAGCTCCCTAACTGACACATCAGATTTCTGTCACACAGTTACAGGCATTAACGGTCGAGTGACCGTTTTGTTAGAAATCAATAATATTAGTGACATTTTTGTACCTTTTTAAACGTAAGTTGTGATAAGTGAAAATTAATTAAAATTTAGTGACCGTTTCTGTACTTTACTCTAAACATATAAAACTAATCAAATAAAAAAATATACGAAATAAAAGGGCCTACTACTCTCTTTTCTCTTCACATATCCCGCCGCCGCCAAGTTTCCTTTGAAAATAAGGTAATTTATGAAACCCTAAACTCAACTTGAAGATTTATACTTAGAATTATCTGCCTCTGCATCATTCTGCTATATTTGATTTTCTGTTTTCCGTCTCACAAACCTGTTGCTCTTTCTCATCTCACACTCTTTCTCTGTTTACATTGTTGAGAAGCAGAATTTTTGAGCTGTAGGTTTAGTGAAAATAGCGACCGGCGACACTGCTACATCACCAGTAGTTGAAACCCTGCGTTGAAACAAAAATGGCTGAGGAAGAGATGGAAGAAATAAAGTCGTTCAAAGGTTTAGGCTTATGCGATGAGTTAGTGGAAGCCTCCGACAGTTTAGGTTGGAAAGCCCCTACCAAAATCCAAGTAGAAGCCATTCCCCACGCTCTCGAAGGTTCTGCCGTTTTCCTTCTTTTTGACAAACTTTGTTTGATTACACTGTTTAAAGAATGTGAGGATTTTCGTATTGCAGGGAAGGATTTGATTGGGCTTGCCCAAACGGGTTCGGGTAAAACAGGGGCGTTTGCTCTTCCAATACTGCACGCGCTTTTGGAATGCCATTCGAAGCAAGAATATAAATCTGCACCTGTATTTTTTGCTTTGGTGCTTTCCCCGACACGGTCTGATATCAAACAAGTTCATTTCGTTATCATTCATGTTGGATTTTGTTTGGTTTAATCCTAATTCGTTATTGCAGGGAGCTTGCAATTCAAATAGCTGAACAATTTGAAGCTTTAGGATCTGGGATTAGCCTAAGATGTGCTGTGGTAAGTTTCCCGTCAACATGTACCCCATTGTTAGCAAGTTAAGATTGAGATTTCATTTTTGACTGGTTTTTATATGCTTTTACTTGACTGAAGTAGCATGGTGTTGTTTGCTGACTTTGAACATTGTGTCTGCTTAATTGTTTCTCATCATTAATGGGCTTTATTTGGATTGCATAAATTTTGGTTCTTAATTTGGAAAGCTTGTTGGAGGGGGGACCTGATGCAACAACAAATTGCCCTTGGGAAGCGGCCACACATTATTGTAAGTTCATTTGTTCTCTGCCTGACACACTATTTAGAACTTTAAGTAAATTTGAGCATAAGTGAACTAGGTTAAGTTCACCTGTGGTTTAAGACTTGATTGCAATTATGAAACTGTAGATTACAGTTAGATAAAAAATGATTGCAACTATATTAGTGTTAAGTTGTTGATGCCTCATCTAAGTTTATCTTCTAAGATGTAGTGACAAAGATTATGTCACATGGTATCCAGTATACATATGCTATGCTTCCGTCATCATAGTCCTTTTCTATTATCTTGATATATTGGTTGGTTGCACTACATGAAGGAATCCCCTTTTTATGATACTGATATCTTCTAGGTTGGCATGAATATCTTTCCTTTTTATGATTTACCTGCAAAGAATTAGTGCAAGGGCTATGTACCCTAGGTTTTGGTGTGTCTGTGAGCTTATTTAGATAACACCAACTTTCTTGGAAACTTTGTTTAGAGTTTATAAGATATTTCCTTAATGGTAGTAAGTAGTAACCTTCCTTAAATGTTAAATCCCAAGAAAAAATGTCAGTATACTATTGTTTTAAGTAGCTTTCAGTACACACACAGACAATTAATGGAACAAAGAATACATCGGAATATTTATTTTTTAAATGATTGAAATATAATCTTCGCCCTGTAGGTTGGAACGCCTGGACGCCTCGTGGATCACCTAACCAATACTAAAGGTTTTTCTCTACGCATGCTAAAATATTTGGTAAGAATTTCTTCTACTTCTTCCTGTTTTTATTTTTATAACGTCCCTTGGGATTCAAATTGTTGGTCATATTTAGTTTAACAGAGGATCTGGGATATAAAATGACTGGGTCATATTTTGTGAAAGCTTTTTTGTTCTTTTTCCACCCTTTTTCGTGAAGCATCCCTTTGTGTTCTTTATTTTAGCTTATATTAATTTTTTTTATCTTTTTCCACCCTTTTTCATTTTTCATCTGCCAAATTTTACATTTGCCAATTTCACCTTCATGATATGAATGCCGATGTCTTATGTGGCACTTTAAACCAAACTGAACGCTTCTATGTTAAGATTTTACTTGACATATTGGATTAAATGAGTAATAGAATACCCAACTTGTAACATGCATTTATTGTTGAGTGTTGACTGTTTGATATGTATATATATATTGTTGAAATAATATGTGCATGTATTTGACAGGTCTTGGATGAAGCAGATAGGTTGCTGAATGAGGATTTTGAGAAAGCACTTGATGATATATTGAATGTTATACCTCGGGATAGGCACACGTATTTGTTTTCTGCAACCATGACCAAAAAAGGTTTGGAAAACTCATATTTATTGTGTTCGACAAGAAATTTGTCCATGTACTAAAACAGTTTGTGTGGAATACGAAATATTTTATGTATTCAGTTAGTAATATATCCATATACTTTAATCTGTTTCACATCAGATATGGATTAAAATGATGGGAAAGAACTTTTAAGTTCTGTTTAGCTGAACCTTGTAAAGGCTTAGTTCAATCTTTGTTATTGTTAATTAATATCTTTGCAATAACTAGTGCATTGGCCGCACTTTATTGATGTTTTACTTGTATGCATATTCTTATTAAGACTTAAAATTATCTAATATATCATACCCTTCTGTATGTGAATGTGGATGTTTTTGTTTTTTCTTGTTGCCTTATGTAGCCAGTCTACCATCAGGGAACGGTATTTTTACAATTTGTCCTTATTTTTGTTTAGTACACATTATTTCTCAATTTGACCAGATTTTTACAGTATGTTGGCTTTACTATGTGGTGGAAGTTTGATTGCAATGTTTTGTTGATTGTACAGGTGAAGAAGCTGCAAAGGGCATGTCTGAGAAATCCTGTGAAGGTTAGTGGTGCTGTTTAAGCATAGTAATTTCTGCACTCTCTCTAAGTTAAAAGTTTCAAAGACTTTCAGTTCATTTCTCTTACAGATTGAAGCAGCCTCGAAATATTCAACTGTTGACACATTGAAGCAACAATATCGCTTTGTACCTGCAAAGTACAAGGTGCTTAATCTTCTTAGCCTCAAAATTTCTTTTCAAAGATGTGAAACATCATATAGTTAATCCTACTTGTGATGATTTTCGTGTTGGTTATGTGCTGAAATTCTAGTTACTGAAAAGATTGAGGAAACCTTTTGGTCCATTTTATATTAGATGCACTTGAGTTTGTTAAAGTAATATGAAAATGATGTAGAATAACTTGAGTTAGCTCAATGATAGTATATGTCTCAGGTCTAGCACACCTTGTGACCCCAGGGTGGTGTGCAAGAAAAACTTTCAGGAACCTTTAGACTACTTATCCTGGAGTGAGGGCAGCAGAAGGATTGATGATTTGTGTAATCCAATTTTCATTACCTTAACTTTTACATCATAGTACCAGAGTTTGAACAATTAAATTTCACACCCTTCCCCTTTTTGGACCCTTGATGGCTGTATTCAGTTGTCTTCATTTCCTGGAAATTGGCATGTTAAATACTAATATTAGCATCCAGACCCCTGTTTGAGAAAAGATAGGCCAGCATATGAGCTAACCCTGGGAATCTTTGACAGACTTAAAAGACTAAAGTAAGTCTCTAATAGTGCTAGTAGGCATGACCATTCGAGTGTGTTCATGCTACATGCTTTGTGGTTGAATAGGGATTTTATTTTAGCTGAAATAGATAGTTAATTTGTACTTTAGTCATGGTAATCCTTCTTACTTCTGTAAGTGGATAAAGGGTGAAATATCTTCACCTTCTTGCTTCCATTGTTCCTAGATATCCGAATGCCTTCATCTATGTATTTTATTTTGCTGTGATTGCAGGACTGCTATCTTGTTTATATTTTGACTGAGATGTCAGGATGTACATCTATGGTTTTCACTCGAACATGTGATGCAACTCGCCTTTTGTCTTTTATTCTTCGGAATCTTAATATAAGGGCCATTCCCATTAGTGGTCAGATGACTCAGGTATTTTTCTTTTGTTTTGTTGATATTCTGATTTATGCTTCTGCTCGACAAATGTGGAATGCACCCCGCCTATCCAACCCCCCACAAAAAAATTGTTTTTCCTCTTTATTTTAATTTTATTAATTATTAATTGCACACTTCGCTGACATATTGTGATTACAGTCAAAGAGGCTAGGAGCCTTGAATAAGTTCAAGTCTGGGGAATGTAATGTTCTTGTCTGCACTGATGTGGCTAGTAGAGGACTTGACATTCCATCTGTGGATATGGTTATTAATTATGATATCCCTATGAACTCTAAGGTTAGTCTTTGCTTAGACCATGGAAAGAATGCATTCTGTTATTCTACAAATGATCTTAATTCTTGAGGGATAGTGCGCATAAGAATTTTGTGGCATTCTTTGCTGTTTTTTTGGGCTAATTTTTATGTGGGTACAGGATTACATCCATCGAGTGGGTAGAACAGCTCGTGCCGGAAGATCTGGTGTTGCTATCTCACTAGTGAATCAATATGAGCTGGAGTGGTATCTGCAGATAGAAAAGCTTATTGGTATGTCAAATTTGCTAAACTTGTTTCTAGGATGTTAGTCGATGAGTAGTTTGTCCAGCAGAGTAACCTTTTCTGTTTTCTGTATTCCAGGCAAAAAGTTACCTGAGTACCCTGCTCAAGAAGAGGTAGTCTTGCAAATCTTAGAAAGTGTGACTGAAGCCAAAGACTGTCGCAGATGGTAATCCACGTTCCTTTTAGCTTTGTCTATATTTTCATGTTGTTTGATTCAAACGCATCATTTTTGTGATTCTGTTTTACTTCTGGTTGTTACTGCTTTAACCTTTTGGTTTGCAGATATAATGCCCATTTCTTTAAATAGGGGCTTTTTCTTGTAGTAGACTCCATGTTTGATAGTGTGTCTTGCTTATTTTATTCATTCTGCCATTTGCTTGTATTTTTTTCTCTATTGAATTTTCGATTTTGGTGTTTATTTGAGATTTCAAATCATTTTTTAACTGAGATGACAACTTTTTCCAATTGTTAAAATTTAAACACCTCTGCAGAAACTTAAAGAAATTGGAGGCACAAAAAGGAGGAAGGGCGGAAATGATGAGGAGGAGGAGGAGGATATACAGAGATATCTGGGGGTCAAAGGCAAGTCCTCAAAGAAAGTTAAGAGAAGATGAGATTGCCTGCTTGTAATGTTTTTTGTCTCTGTTTACTTGTTTCTGGCTTCCGACTAATTTGTTGGGTTCAGGATATGAAATTAGCTTTTATTAAGTAAAATTAGTACTGGTAAGAGAATGAGAGAAGAACTCTATTTACTTTTGTTTTATTTTCCCCTTCTGGGGAAGAGATTGTACAAAACTCGGATTACAAAAGTGTCTTGGGTTTTAGTCCCACAATACATAAATTTAGGTATGTGTGGGTTCTTGCTCCACCGCTTTGTGTGGGTTCGTTTCCAAATAATTGTTCTAGTTTAGGTTGGGATCTACCCTAGTAGGATGTGCTACAATTGTTTCTTCTGGTTAAGCCCGACTATGTCATGTTATGTTGATTCTAATTGTCTCTATACTTGTAGTTCTCGGATTATGATTGTAATTGTACTTGTATCCACCTAAAAACACATTTGCATTTGCTGAATGATTTTGTTACAAAATTTTATTAGCTTCTGATTTAATTCCAATTCATATCTCCCTGGACCGTAACATAATGGATGAGGAAATTATGACATGCACGAGATAGAGGATGCCTCGAGCATTGTTCTTGTTCTTCGAAAAGCTGGTTTTGAATTATCCTTCATTTCATTGCTTATGAAATAATAACACTGAGCTTTTATTTAATTTTGTAGTTTATGTTTTTATTCGAGCCTGATGAACAACAGAGATGTTTGGTCGAGGTTTCCAGCTAAATATTCCGTGCATGGATCATGGATTCTTTGGTCCAGTTTTGCCCAAGTTTAGATTTGGTTTGATATTTTTAGTTTGAATTATTTGGATTTTGCTGTTACTGATAATATAATATACGAAGAAGGGTAGTTGAACATTTTTTTCTTTATTGACAAGGAAAAACAAAGAACTCAAATCACAGTTTGTCTCATGTGCGAGACACCTGCAGCAACGTCAACACCTCATCAGGTAGTGCTAGAATAGCCGGTATACCCGTACCCTTGATAACAGCCAACTGCGCCAATCCACTGCAAGGAAGTTGCCTTTGGATAGCAATGCTGCCTCGAACACACCAATGAACATTGCAACAGCTTACTCAACTCTCGCAAAACAGAACTTGCACTAATCACCAGCTCATCGCCGTTATGCACTCTTAACAAGAACTTGGTTGTCAAGTTCCTAGATGACCTGCTGATAGCCTAACTCCCATGCCCGCAGCAAACTGTCAAAGGGACTGCCCATGTCTCGGCCTTCATAACTGATCATCTCCCGATATTATGCTACCTTAATTAACTCGAATGAGACCTCCAGCAAAGGCATCACCATGTACACCTTGCACCGGGCCATCGGTGTTAACTTTCACCCAGTCCCTCGGAGGCCTCTCCCACTTGATCATGTGGCACTCCCTCCATACGCCTTAAAATTATTAGTAAAAGCAATCCATGAAAACCGAACTCATCCATCAATTGGATAGCCTTATAAAATAGTGATTCTTTTTCAACATTTAGGAACACAATGTTCATTCTACTTCACAGAACCCAGCATCCAGTACCAAATTACGTTATCTGCCACACTAATTAATTTGTTTATTTCATGCATGGAATTCTCACATAAAATAGCAAAGTGAAAGTCAGAAGGATCATGTACGTAGTAGCATCTAGGAAATATCTTCCATTCAACCTGAAATAAGAAACATAATGGTGAAAGCTCGTTCCTCTATAAATTGGTGGATTCTCCTCCGATAAAAGTTCATCGGCTGCTCCATATGGTTTATCTCTAAGAGAAGGTGTCGGAGCGAAGAAACATGCGGCTGAGATTCTTGGACCCACTCTTCCGGCTAATACTCTATGTGTTACACTTTTGAACTTGTCGTTTGATACAATCTGCAAAAAACATATTATTTTTAATACATATATATACTCCATTTGCTAATCTTTAGAAGCCCTCCTTCCATTTTAATTAATATATACCAGCAGAAAGTAACCAATATTGGCAGTTAAATATCCATGGAGATGTGGTACATCAACCCACTGATTCTGATGAACAACTTGGAGCCCATCGATATTATCTTCCAAAAGTATAGTTAAAACCGGTGCATCAATATGGCTGGACGTCCCTAAGGTCAACTCAGGCTGAGGACATGGCGGATGATAATGACACGCAATAAGAGCACCTTCCATCCCTCCAATGCTTCCCAAGTAATTCCTCCTCAACCCTAAAGCCTCGGACAACAATTCAGATAATGTCTCTTTCAACTGCACTATTTGTTTCATGTTTCGATCGTTGCCTTGCTGCAAAAACCATCAAATATCATACATCGTTTCCGAAGATATAAATTCGAAAAGATCGTTTAATCATCCTCAACCTGCAAACTTGGGGTATAACTTGTTCGTTTAATTCTCCATATGGGAATTCAATTGATAGAGTATCTCTCCATGCTGCCACTTTTATATTTGTATTATACTCGAACGCTTTCGTTACACGAATACCATGCTTTCTTCACCTCTTGAGGTTGTTCATGGAACTGACGAACGGCGTCCAACATACCTTCCATTGTGGAAATTGGAACTCCATGATCAACCATTCGTAAGAAGCCCCATGTTTGAGCTGCATCACGTATGGCGTAGACGATTTCCGTTCGGCATTACCGGGTGGCGTCCAACATACTTGCTCTCGAAGCCTTCGAGGTCTATCACCGGGAATTGAAGCCGCGCGGTTAAGGTGGCATCCGTGGAACAATTTGCTGGAAAAGTCTCGGGTGGCTGGATGAAGAAACCCGGAATCTCGGTGATTCCGGAATCGACTAACCCTTTAACTCCCTCCCTACTTTCAAAGAAAGTCTTAATTTCTTTGGTACGGATGTGATGAGCACCTAGATTTTTAGCTTCCATTGCCCAAATGGCTGTATATTTATGCGTGTATATATAGAGATGTAAAGGTTGAAGGAGATATATGGTCCGGAAAAGGCTGCTTTCATTTTTTAATCTGCGATGCCAAAGCAAGCTTAGTCTTGTGCACGTTTGTGACTTAAAAGACAATTTTTTAATTTCTTGGTACGAGAAATTAGTACTACTTGACAAAGAACAGTTCACGTTCATATTAAACAACAGATTCCCAGAGAACATGAATATCATGCGCCGACTGGACTTATCCTTGGATATTATTATAGCTTTCCTATTTTTTACTTGTTTTGTATAATTTATTATTATGGCTTTTCCCTTTTCCTCCTCATTTTATTGACACGAGCTTTGATTTTGAAGGGTAGGACATTGTGTTTGTGATTATTGTTTATTTCCTTCTTTTGTGTTTAGAAAACTAATTAGAGGTCTAGATGTCTCCTTTCCTTGACATTAGTGTCTTAATAGTGTTTGATTTAATCTTTTTTGTCTTTGATGTATCTTATATATATAGTATTTGTCTATCCACAAATTATATGTTCATTTTTATTAATATACATAATTATCTGACGTAGAAAATTATCTCATAGTAGTATGTGTTTGATTAATCGTGTTTAATATTAATAAAACACTAATATATTAGTGTATTTCTCCAAAATGATAATCTCTCATAATTTTAAAGTTCAATATATATATATATATATATATATTAAAAAGTCTAAACTAATACTTATACTTTCTTTATTCAAATTAGTACATAAATTTTACTTTTATCACACATTTTGTTTCTTGAATTTAACTTCGCCATTATTAGCTTATTGTGGTAAAATGTTTCACAAAAATAAAATGTAAGTATTTAGTTTGAATAAAATATAAATAGTAATTTAACCCTCTCATAAAAGTTAGACAGTTATATATAAAATAAAAAATGTAACTATCAATTTCAACTTTAAATAAATTTTAGAGTGAAATACAGAAACGATCACTAAACTATGTTGAAATAATTATTTGATCATTGAGATCTTAAAAATTATAGGATGATCATTAAATTTACCAGACAATTATAAAATGGTAATTAAATTTTATCAAACTATTATAAAAGATCGTTAAACGTATCAGACTATTACAAAATGATCTTTAAACTTATCAAAATCTCTCACTATTTTATAACATACAATGAAGTTTTGTAAAATTAGATAAAATAAATAATCATTTATAACTTCTAAAATTTAAGTGACCAGAAAGATCATTTCAATATTGTTTAGTGACCATTTGTACATTTTACGCTTAATTTATTAGTGGGGACCAGGCCTAGCCTTGCTTAACCATTATTTGGCCCTCGTACAAATTACAATGCAACTAAAAAACATGAGCCCAAGTACAGCCCAACCCGATACGATAAGAATCGGAGCTCCAATATGAAAACAACCCGACCCGGACTTGCTTTGCAATTCCAATTAGAGTTTTTTTTTTAAAAAAAAAAAACTTTTGTACAGTTTACTAGTTTAGTGTTTCCGGTCCACTTCTTCAAGCAGCGACAAAATATTTAAGCTGCAATTTCTATAATCTCTATCAACAACCTCAAATCATATTTTTTGTTGTTGTTTTGTTTTGTATTTGTGCTTAAATGGCATCATCCTTTTTCTCCAGAACTCTCTTGGGTCATCGCTTGATTCGATCCTCGTCCTCTGTCCCTCACGAACCCTTGATTTTCTCTAATCTTTTCAGTGTAAGTAACGATCTTTATCATTTTTTTAATAATTACTATTTGGGTTTCTCTCAATTTGTTGGTTTTTGATTGTTCAAATTTGCTTTTCTTTCTTGATATTTCAAAAGTGAATCCTTTTCTTTTGTCTTGCATGTGATCAATCTATCACTTTTACGAGATGGGCAAGTTCTGTTTTTTTTTCTTTTCGATTTTCTGTCTTCACCAAAGTTTATGTAGGGTTTTGATTATTTTTATAAAGAATTTGATCTTCTCTTTAGAAAATTTATATTTTGTATTATAGAATGCATATGCAGAAGATTATCTATTCTGCATGTTCTTTATTTAATTTTAATTTTGAATTTTCTGGTTATGTTTATGTTATCTTTAACCCAAACCATGCATTAGAAGTATCTAGTGCTACAATGGCTACTTTTATTTTCACTTATGAGTGAAATTGGGCTACTGAATAATTTATTAGCATGGGCATGTTGCTATTTGGGGCTTTGATATTAACTACACTGTCATTGAGTTACCGCTGACTCTGGTGACGACTTTAACTTGGAACTCCCCCGTTCTTGTAGTAGTTTTTATGGTCATGTGGCTCAGTTCTTATGCTGTATTTTTGTATCACTTGCAGAAGAGACAGTTTCGTGTACTGGCCGAGCCTTCCCATACCACATATAAGACCTCTGGTTGGCCTTCTCGTTTAATGGCTTCTGCAGCAATTGATGCAAGAACTAATTTTTCAACACAAACTCTTTCCACCGATGATCCAGTCGTTTCTGTTGATTGGCTTCATGCTAATCTAAGGGAGCCTGATCTGAAGGTATGCATTTATACTGCACCAGTAACCCCTTTAACTTTTAAGCATTGTTTGTTATAAAATGTTATGAATTTTGTGCTTGTTATCTGTTATGTTTTGACAGTGTGGTTGTTGTGTATATATAAGCCACATTTGATATTCTTGTCATTGCTTTATTTTTCTGAATATAGAAAGGCATACATGCATGTTATTAATAATTATAGTTAAGGTTTTGCTTGCAACTAATTTATTATCTTCATAGGCATCACCCCTAATATATTTCTACGTGCTTATGAAATTGTTATTAAAATAGTTTTTATATACTACATACAGCTCTAGCAATTTTGCAACTCCTGAGGAAATATTGATGTTAAACCACGAGTTATGTCCTTATTATCAATTTCCCATCATTGTTTCAGAGTTACAGTTAGTCATAACTCATAAATCCACATTTTTCAACTTAAAAAGAGAAGACTCTTGCAGTCTAATAATTGCTTGGTTTCTTAGAGTAATATATCATTGTGAAAGCATTGTTTTTATTTTTTGTTATGAATTTTGGTTTTTGCCTAAAGCCTATGAATAGTTTATTTGCATAAGTGTCTGTGGAAATCTTATGATAATTGGAAAAACACTTAATGCTTTCTCTCTTTATTGGTCAAACGCATTTTTATTATTTATCAGATACTTGACGCCTCATGGTACATGCCAGATGAGCAGAGGAATCCAATTCAAGAGTATCAGGTGCTGATTATCGCGTTTTCTACAATCTATTTTGGTGTCGCACTCCAAAAACAGTTAAATGCTGATGAATATTGAAATTCTGTTCTTATCATAGCAGGTTGCTCACATTCCCGGTGCTCTGTTCTTTGATGTTGATGGAATAGCAGATCGAACTACAAAGGTGAGGTTCTTTCTGTTTAATTGATTAGTTTCTTTTCAATCTTTGGGTTCTCTTGTTGCTAGATTACCGAGGTGCAGAAAAATAGTGCTCCTTGTCTTAACAACCTTTCCATCACTGTTTCTTTTCCCCTTGATATCTCACTGCTATCTTTTTTGGGTTTTACAAGCAGCAAATTTCTTTTCTTCCTTTGGGCATTATGTTTAGTCAAGTTGTTGCTTGTTGGAGAAGATTTGAATAAAATTTCTTTTTATAGGTCTGTGTCAAGCATTAGGCTATAATCAGATGTTTAGTGAAATTGGAAATAGTAAGAACAATTAGGGTGGTTGAGAGAAAATAGGAAAGAGACAAAAGAACTTGGAAGAAAACTAGACAGAATCAGCTGAGGGAAGTCTCATTATCACAAAGACTTGATATTCCATATGGAAAAACATAATTACAGCTAAAGTAACAGAGGTATTTTGAACCAAACCCTAAACCCTAATAAAGTTAAAGTTCCAATTAGAAATTTGGTTAAACACAATACCAATAAAAGGCCTAAACGCCGTCCTCCATAAAGTCACTTTGATAATTGCAGAATCAACTCTAACTTTGTACATGCCTTTAGCATTCTCGGTAATGCATTTCAGTCAAATGTTCATGGTAGTTTGTTACATGAAGTATTAATATTGAAGATGTACTAGATAAGTGAACCTTTCAATAACATATGCACTACTTTGCTTACTGTATTTGACTTCTCTCATTGAAAACTCTTATTAGTTGCCACATATGCTGCCATCTGAGGAAGCTTTTGCAGCTGCTGCCTCTGCTCTTGGTATCGAGAATAAAGATGGGCTGGTTGTTTATGATGGAAAGGGAATTTTCAGTGCAGCACGTGTCTGGTGGTGAGTAGCATGTTTGATAATATGATATCTTTTCAACCTTTACTGAAATCTTCTATCAGTATTTTTCCGATTCTAAATCTAACGGACATTATTCCTTCGATAATTGTAAGGATGTTTCGAGTTTTTGGGCATGGCAGAGTTTGGGTGTTAGATGGAGGCCTCCCAAGGTGGCGTGCATCAGGTTATGATGTTGAATCTAGTGCATCTGGTGATGCTATTTTGAAAGCCAGTGCTGCTAGCGAGGCAATAGAGAAAGTCTATCAGGGACAAACTGTAAGTATTCTTTAGATCTATGATTCTCTATATCTCTCTTTTCAATTCTTTAGATCTATATCTCCCTTCAATAAGAAATGTTTGTTCTTTAGAAGTTACGAAAATATTGCTATCGAGTTCAAATGATGCTTTTTGAAATAAGCAAGTATGGGAATGCTATTGGAGGCATGTTGCTGGGTTGAACATTGTTATCTAATATTATACAGCTTTCTATACTTATGTTTACAGTATTATACTCAAATTGTTTTTGGTGCACGTATCCTTGTTTTGCAGGCTGGACCACTGACATTTCAAACAAAATTTCAGCCACATCTTGTCTGGACTCTTGACCAGGTTGAATTGCTAGCCTAATATACTTCACGTGGAATTATGGTTTTGCTACCTCAGTTTTCTTCAAATCCTGATGTCTATTAATGATTGCAATTTTAT